GTCTATAGTATCTAAAGGGCTTGCTGCACATCCATGTACATGAGAATCCCCCTGATTTTGAGAGTTATCATCTTAACATCCCTAAGGATCAATCAGTGTTGCCAACTCCAATGGGTTATCTGCTGGACAAGGTATGCGGAAGCCCAGCGATCTTTGGGAACAAGCACAAAGTCACGGGAAGAGTTTTCTGACCAGTCAAAGATAATCTATTCTGGCAGTGTGCCAAAGCCCCCCCTGGGGATTTGCTCTGGGGATTTTGCCCAGTAGTTTGGCTACACTTCATCTTTAAAAAAAATGGGGCAAGGGGGGAATAGAGGGGAAACCAAATGCTCAGTCTCAGAGGGCAGCCATTCCTCTCAGCCCACTGTTGGGATTTTGGAGAAGAAACACACCCAAGGGGGCAGAAAGACTGTAACCCTCTCATGCCAATCAATCCAGTAGGTATTTTCCAGCAGGACAGTGGAATTTCATCTGGAGACCTTTGAGGACAGCTGGGTCACTTGCTGTTTCCCCCTCCTTCAGTGAAGCTGCTGCTTATCACTTTGGGGGAAACAGTAGGGCAAAGCTCAGCATGTCAAATGCATCATGCATGCCACATGGAGACCCTGGAAAAGCTCATTCTTCTCTTGGCAAGTGTAGTTTAGACCATCCCTTTCTCCTTATGTTTCCACTGCATCCTAAAAGGGGAATCACCTGAAAAGTTCAACAGTTGGAGGCCTTACTTGATCACCTCCTGATGACTTCTGATCATGGAAAACCTCCATTTTTCCCAGCCAACTGCACAAGCTAAAAGATCTATTTTCAGCACTGTCTTCACTTCTGCAGAGATCCATCTCCATCCCCACATACCCTTGGTTTTTAACCACTCGGGGCACCTCCTCCTTTTCCTCCCACAGTTAAGAGCCAGCCTGCAGTAGGAAGGGTGGACATTCCTTCTTGTTCCCTTCTCTAGCAAAGGAGAGCTGCTAGTATTTGTGATTTATTAAATGCAAATATTGCCCTTTCTCAGTGAATTAAGGAATAATAAGCCACAAAAGGCAGATCTAAAGTCATGTTAAAGGAAGCTAACAAAGTTAGACAAGAGCCTAACCTAGAGAGGTGCTTCTCATTGGAGCCAGGATGCCAAAAAATTCAGAACCAAGCCTGGAGCTCTGCTCAGACTGAGGAAGGGACATGTGGAAGGGGCAGAAACACACACCTGGGAGTGGAGAAATGTGCATGATGCTCTCCAGCTTTTTCAGTGTTCAAAAAAAATTAAGAAAAAGAAAAAAGGATCCTTTGGAGCAGGAGATGGGTAGGTAGAGCATGGTGGTCCAAGTCAGCTTCCAGTTTAGAAACAAGTGTAAAGCATTTCAATGTTTCTGATGATCATAGACTTCTCAACTTGTCACCTGAATCCTTTTGTTCCAACAGTGGATGTGTCTGTCCTTGAATGTTAACAGGGAGCAGAGGGAGCTGCTCCAGATGAGACATCTGTAGAAGTTATCTCACTGCAAACTCCTTCATGCCATTTTCTACTTGCATATTTGAAAGCAGGCCGTGTTCCTCTGAGGACGAGAAATACTTGCAGCAAAACTGTGCCCTATTGCAAAGGAGTCACAAGCAGGAGATGGTGCGGCCACAAGAATGTCCCACACCTCCAGTACCTTCCATCCCATAATCCAAGGTGGAAGGCTAGCATGAGCTTCCTACTTGTGGAAGAAGTGACGATCTCTAAGCAGCAGAGGTATTTCATTTCAAAGCAATGTGCAACACTTAAAGCCCACAGACACTTCCAGCCCTTTTTTATCTCCTTTCAGCAAGCATGTTCTAGTTATTTTCATTATAAACTCTGCAATTATTCCAATCTGCTTGAGCAACTATCCATCCTGTTCATGCTGAAACCTCTCTCTCACATGCACTCTTGCACTCACACACACATGCACACATATCCTAAGGAAAGGGAAGGGAGTTTGAAAAAGCCACTTTCTTCTGACATTGGGAGATCTACTTACCAGATTTTCCCTCCCTGGGTGCACAATAAACGCCACCAAATGTCAGGCTGTGGCAGTTTCAAGTTCAAGTTACATCAGTTAACTTCAATTTCCTTCTTAGCTATCAGAAAATTTGTACAACTTGGGGAGTGGGGTAGGAATCCTCACCCTTCTGCAGTCCTGTTTGAAGTACCTACACACAGTCCCTTCCTGAGGGTGACACACCTTTCTTAACACGTGCCAAAAATGGATTCCAGCAGTTGCTTGCTAAATGTACCTTAAAGAGCTCTATACAGCAGAGTACAAAGTATGGTACCACTTGAAGACCCAAGAGAATAGCAGCATAGAGCAGCAGGGCTATGACAACCAAGGACAGTTTGCAGTGGTGGTGTCTCCCGTGTTTGGCCAGCTAGTCTGCCAGTTCTCCCAAATTCTCTCAACCAGCAAAAATACAACAATTCCTTGTAGGTGTTGGCCACAAAGATGTAAGTAAAATACTAGGAAATTCTGCAGCCTTCAGCAGCTGGAGTAACGGATCATTGTTTTCTACAGTAACAGAAATTGAAAAGACAGAGGATGACCAAACTGAGGAAAAGAATTATTAAAACTTCACCCAAGGTCATCTAAAGCCCTGCTGATATGCAGCCATGCCACAGACCCCTTGTAATATCTGAACTTAGAGGGACAGTGTTAAAATAGTATTAAGACTCAGAACTTGAATTCAATGAAGTTTGGGATGTGAACTTTGATTCTCTTTGCTCCCTTGCCACTTTGGCTTTGGGACTGCAGTATTCATAATATGTAGAGCTGCCTAAAAGCCAATACAGTCTTCCTGGACTTAAAAAGTAGTGCCAAAATTAGTTGTGGATAAACATTGTGACTCAGAACTTACTTATGACTCTGCAGAGGTAAGTCACCCTGTCACTGTTGCCCGAACAGAGCTGTTAACCTGTTTGACTCTTTTACATTAATAGTTCAAACAGAAAAGAGGAGTGTCATCACATGCTCTGAGATGCTCGACACTGCTGCCCACATGCTTCAGGGAAATGCACTAGGTACTCCCCAAGAACCAGCTCTGCCCTCCTCCCTAGCTCCACTGCCTTGTTGTCTGTCTTAGCTGACACCTAAATTATTTAAGCCCTCTGGACTGCTCTTTGGGGACTCTTGGACCAGCTCCTTGCTAGATTTCACTGGTGGAAAAAGCACATCCCAAGCAATTAGAAACAATGCAACAGCTTCCCCAGCAAAGTGAAGTTGATGAGAAAAGCTTATAAAAAAAATCCCACCTGCCAAGTTCAGAGGGTGTTAACAAAGTCAGTTTAAATCCCTCCAGCGCAGAGACAAAGGACCTCGATTTTCTACTGTGGGATTGGAGCAACTCCCCACTAAAGAAGTGGAGATTTTTTCAGACCTACAGCAGAAGATCTGGGCCTAAACCTGGAATGGCCAGGGACTGATTTTACAGAGTAATTTCTGATCTAAATGCAGGCCAGCTGCAATTTGTTCCAGCTCTGTGAAGAGAGCTGTTTACCCCCAGACCTCTGTCTAGTTCAGAGACATGCAGAATTGTTTCTCATGTACCTACGCTTCAGGGCTATTTTTGTCTTCTAAACAATGACAACTGGCAGAAGTCTCAGCCAGAAAGCAAAGACCCATCTCACCTATCAGCAAAAAAAAATAAAAATAAAATCAGCCCATGTCCCTAAACTGCAGTGCAGTACATAGGTTAGAGAAGCAGACCAAGAACTCCTCAATCCCTTCTAGCAAAGCCAGTCCCAGAAATACTGCAGAACTGGCCTGGAGTCACTGCTAAATGCAATGGTTGTCTTCATGGCCAGACTAATTTTACTTAACCACAATCTCCAGGGTGTGCATTTGCTCATTCAAGTGAGGCAATCTTATCGTCATGGCCAGAATGTTTGTGTAGCATGTCCACTCTAGGGTGGCTCTTGAGAGCTCCATGAAGTTTTTAACAGCTCCCTCTTCCAGTACCCAGCTACAGCCTCTCTGAGGTGAAGGAATGGAAAGATAAGAGCAATGTCCAGCCTTCCTTCTCAGCCCAGCCTCAAACTTCCTCCAATTTACAGAATGGTTCATAAGCTACCAGCAAAATAGTGTCTTCAGGGAGAACAGCAGTAGGAAGATGGTACAGACAATCCCTTTGCTAGTGAAATACTGTCCTGGGCCAACAGTTCACCTGGGGTGGGGGTGGACAGGATTTCAGCCCCAGTCCATCATGCTTGGGACTTTGGCAGGAGAGAGTTTAACTTTTCATTGACTAGCATTCCCCAGCCAAGCAGATGTTAAGGGGAGACTACAATACACATCCAGCTTCCAAAGGGTTAGCATAGCAGGCAGGAGAGGAAAGAGATGGATTTGGCTGATAACAGTCAAATTTCAAGGGTCCTCTCTCCACAAAAAATAAGTCAGAACAGCCAAAAGCTGCAGGGAAACTGGGGCTGGGGGGATGATGGTCTGGCTGTTGTGTTTTTGCTGCTCTTCAGAGCTGAATGCTTTTTCAAAGGCCTAGCGATGGGTATTGATTTCAGCCTGAGAGTAGCAGCCTCCTCCCCACCCACCCTCCCACCCACCCTGAAATGACTCTCAGCAGGATGCACTGTGGCTGTAAGTCTTCTGCTTAACAGCAAAGCAACACATTCTGGCGACATCTTAAATATATTCATAGGACATCGGTGACTGGGCTTGGAGAGGAACCAAATGGGGTAAAGGGAAGAGTGAACATGGAGAGGGGAATGAGGGAAGAAAGGGATGGGCAGGTTTAAAAATGTTAACTGTTCATGAAAGATAAAAGTCATCTTCTGATATAGCAGCACTTTAGCAGTCAGCCGCGCTGAGTAGACCCTGTCTGAGATCAACCGCATGCCAACTTTGTTCCAGAAACAAGTCTGAGAGCCTCTCTCTTCAGCAAGTATTGGTTACGTGGATAGTTCTTTTGTCCTGGCATTTAAATACTGCAGCTTAAATGAGTCCTGGGAACAAAAAACAGAACAAACCAAACAAACCCCATTCATACTAAGCCTTTTAATGATTTAAAATAACATCTGATTGATCAGAGTGTTTGATCAAGATCTGACAGGTCCAGAGCATCACTGTACAGTTACCAAACAGGATACAGGATGTGCCCCGTGACAGAGCACTTTCATGGGAAAATGTCACTGTGGACACCCCTCTGCAGAAGCCTGTCAGCTCTTCTGCCATTCTTCTCTCTTATGTTTACTGCTATCAACAGTAATTGTGCATGTACCCACCCATGCAGGAAAGCATGTTATCCCACTTCACTCATATGCATAAAATTCACTTTACAACTGACCCAAACACATGAAACATTTTGTCCTGCCCACACTGTGCTGGCCAAGACAAAAGGTAATGAGCAAACCAGCCAGGCTCTGATATGAATAATTTAACATCCATGCTATGCGAGAGAGAACAAGGGCTAGGCCCTATCAGTATATTATTTTGCACATTGATTCATCTCAATTTAATTTGCCTGGGTTTGTGCTTGTGCCTCAGTGTCTCCTCCCCTGGCCAAGCTGTAATCTTGAATCAGCTTGCTGCAGAGTGAGGAGAATGGTCATCACTTCAGAGGGAGGTTCTTGGCAAAACTCTCCTGCCTGGTGACAACTGCCCAGGGTCAGGCCATCTGCATCCTCTTGTTAGGCAGCAGCTGCTCTACTCGCTCTGCAGAAACTCTTCTTCCTTCTGGACAACAGTATAACTGATTTAATTATTGATGATGATGGACAGAGGAGGAGGAGTTCTTCAGGGGGAGTCATAGGCACCACATGTCACAAATCCTAAAATAAAGTCCCTATTCTAAGGTACCAGAACCATTCCTGTCCTCTTACAGGACACTGTAATTACTGTATAACCAAGATGACAAACACTGATAGACCCAGCCAGTTACTCAGGCAGCAGGCTCACACTACATCCAGTGTCACCTTTGAGCCTTTGAGCCTCACCTTATTTTTTAAAGTTTTTTGTTTTTTTTTTATTTTACCTGTGCAAGTGTGAGGTACAGTGTAGTGTTATTTATCTGGAGATGTAGGTGTATGTTCTGGACGGGGAGCGAGTGGATTCTGCCTGGGCAGCTGGATCATTCAGAAAATCCCAGATGAGGATGGTGTCATCATGTGAGCTGCTGACGATCTGGAACTCATCAAACTGAAGTCGAAAGACTCTTCCAGAATGCTCCTGAAATACCAGTGGGAGACACAGCATGTTACTTTGCAAACTAACTAGCACCTGAGATGGAGCAGGGAAGATGAACTTGGGCTTGATTTTAGTGTTATATTAATTTGTCAGTAAACCCCACATGACATAATGTGCCTCACCATCACAGAGCATAAATTAAACCCTCTCTCAAGGAAAAGGGTTTGCCATATCTGACTACTTGACTTGCAAGAAGTTTTCATTACAGTTGTCCCACTACTCCTTAAATCCCAGTATTAGACACACACTGTGCAGAACAAAGCAAACTCCCTCCCCACATAATTCCCTCTGGTGAGGTTGACAGGTGCACTGTCTTCCTTATTCCATGGCAAAACTCCTTCCTCAAATTACAGCATTCTCAGGTATAGTAGGTTACAGTGTAAGAGATGAGAACTCTGTATTCAAGACTTGGCATTGCCATGCTGAAGAGGGAACAGCTTAACACTGGAGGACACTAAGGAGCCTGTTGTAAAGTCCAGTGACACAGTAGTAATTCCTCCTAAACAGTTCTAAAAATATGATCTAGAAAGGGCATTCTTTATAGGCAGTTTGCATTCTGCTCTAAGGCTGAGTGGAAATGGCATGACAATTTGGCAAGAGTTCAGACCATAATTAACAGGAGGCAATGGCAACATCCTGGATATCACAGAGCAAATTCACTCTGCTTTCCCTTGTGTGTTGCCTATTTTCTCCTTGTGCTTGTAATACTCCAAAAGCAGTGACCTCCTTGGTCATCAGGGAACAGAAACCGTGCAGTGACAGTGAGCCCTATCCCTTCCATGAAGACACATTTCTCTTTAGTGCTCACACACTGTAAGTGGCTTCTGAGGGTCAGGAAAAAAACACATCTTAAAATACTTTAATACTGAAACAACAGGTTTCTCAAACATTTAGGCAAAAGAGAATTGCAAGTTACTCAAGGGGAAGTCTTTATCTTATAGCACAAGATTACAAAAATACAGCTCAGTTTACAAAGAACAGCTCCTTTAAAGTGAATTTCTGAATATTTAAATAAAAGTTACCTAAAAATAAATGGACACGTAAGTCAGATTCTAAGATAAATTTTTTAGAATTTCTAACCAATGGAACCTTTTTGATCTTCTAACTATAACTTGAGTTTGTCTTATAAGCACCTTATGAGTTTCTGTCTTCCCACCTATTCTTAAGGAAAGTGTTTTTCCAGATTTTGTGTTACAGCAGTAAAGAAGTTCTTCCAAAAAGTTATCATTACAACAGTCAGATCCACTGACTGATTGATTACTCACAGAGATGGTGGGAGGGGAGGAAGGGAGAGGGGGGGAGAGAGAGAGAATGGTACTTCCAAAAGTTTTTTTCAAAGCTCTCTTTTTGATCCCAGTCACTGTGAACTAAGTAGGAATGTCCTACCTGGACTGTTTATGTCATAAAGAAAGCTGAACTTTTGAGATTATTCTGTTCATAGAAAGCTTCTGTCAAATTCATGTGGCCACTGTTCCAGCTAACAGAAGACAAAACTGGAAGGGACCTGGCATGCAGCGAACATTTGTTATCTGTGCACTTTCCTCCTACTGTTTGAAAATTGAACACAAGCAGCAGGAGACTCATGATGTTCATTGTGCAGCCAGGTTTAATTTTGGAGGACGAGGGAAGAGGAAAAAAACACCAAAGCATGGGTAAGCGGGTATAAGGACACCCTGTTGTCATAAAAGTCCTAAAAGCACTGCAACAGCTTCCTCTGCTCCCCATCCTGCTTTTGGCCCCCTCCATTGCTATCAAACAGGGATTTATGAATATCCATGTGTTGAGATTCCTACAGTGTTTCCATCCCACCGCTTCTGATTTATACTATAATTAGCTGGGGCACTTTGGCTGTCCACTGCTGGAAAATGCAAAGGAAATCACACCAGTTAAATTAAGTCTACAGGTTACTAGGCACACATTTGTCTCAAGCTGGAGCAGAAACACTACAAATACCAAGCTTAAGTCTTAAGACTCTCAGGATATGAGCTCATGGGCACACAGTTGTTCTGTAGCTTGGAACTGGGCGACCGATAACAAAGGATTTTTCTGGATTTCAGCCATGAAACTATTTGCACTTCTATCTGGCTAACAAGAAGGTTTTCAACACAGCACCTGCAGGCATCCAAAGCTCTTATGAATTCTGATCCTGTGGCTGATGGTCCAAATACATGATTGGAAAAGGATAGCATGGCTTAATGATCTTACTACCTGTCAGCTGAGTTGCAGTAACTTTACAGCCTGCACCAAATGTGATGGAAAGTACTTCAGTGAAATCTACAACAGGAGCAATTCAGGTGGTTCAAGAGTGTGCAGAAGGTCAGCCAGCACAGCTCAGCTGGTGAGAAGTAACCACACTTTTAGAGAATCAGATAGCCTTGGTACAATCCTGTTTTAGAGCACAGGCTACAGTCATGTGCCACAGCAGGAAAAGGTCTAGAATATACCAATCAAAACATTGCCCAAACACTTTTAGCCTAAGAAATAAAAACATATAGTACTTGTTTTTCAATGGGATTTTGGTACTGGTTGAAATCTTTCTTTATGCCCAGCAACAGTGCTGTTTTTTTGGGTTGAATGTGGTGGAGGAACAGTTACAGGAACCACCCCAAGGCCTTGGCTGTCCTGGCATTTTTCTCACAATTTTCCCACGTTATTGTAAGACCAAGCAGAGCCGTTGTTAAACATGACTGTGAATGTTATTAACACTCACATAATGACATTTTAACCACACCATCACTGACCTGCACTAGAAACCAGTGGACAGCATGAAAAGAGTCGTTGCTGTTTAAGCATAAGGCAATTTCCCTATCTGTTTCAGTCCTTACCTGCTTTTTCTTTGAATACCCAAAAGGCAGTTAAAAGCAATCCCAAGAATGTTTTTGTTCCTGTTCCTCAGATTTGGAACATAGTATTTTTAAGAAATTTCATGCCAACAATTCAGAGAACTTACTGCTACATCATCAGGTACACACAGATCAATGTAAACCCACTGGCATATGCGGATAAGTTAAAAAATGGATTCAATTATTAACTTCAAATCACAGAATAAAACTGTTGAAAAGTCCAGAGTGGAGTGAAAAGGCCAGAGATTTTAACTTTTAATGCTTGCAATTAATAGCTTGCAAAATTAAAAGAAGTTGAACACCCAAAGAAGCCAGACCCCTAGAAATTATTTCAAGATCCTGCAGACTTGGGCTAAACTGACCTTGAGTTTTCACAGCTCAAGACAGCTCTGAACAAGCACACTTTCTTCAACACCTCTACCTAAAGCTCTTACCACAAGGGTTCGCAAGCAGAGGGTCCCTGCTGGAGCACGGGGATCCAAAGCAGCCACAAGATCCCACACTTTGATTTTCCTAGTGGTGAAAAAATAGACAAACACCATGTCTCTGTTAAAGAGAAAAGAGCAAGTACTCACAGAAAAAATAACTGTTAGTACAACTTAGCTAATACACCAGTTTAAAGAAAATTACAGCAATCCTTCTGCTCTTGAGACCTGGTTCTTGCATTTCCCCTTTGTAAAGCTTATAGAGCTTAATGGGAGGTAAAAATATGCTGTCAATAAAGTAAAACACATAAAAAGCAGGTGGCAATAACTAACAAACACATAGGAGGGCAGACAACTAGTCTGTAACGGCAAATGGTCCTGCAGACAACCACAGACGGGAAAGATTGCTCTTACAAGAGACTGAGCTGGAAGAAGTTTCTGGTTGAGTCAGTCAGATATTTTTTCAAGTACAAGAACTGGACCACACACATCAAATCACATGGACTTATTTCAAAAGAAGAATGAAAGCTATGCTCCTCATTTACTGGCCATGAAAAGATCCTCTTAGTATGACAGAGTCTGATATTTATATGGAAGATGCACAAAATGGGATGGGAGACACTGAGACAGACAGGAAGATGCAAAGCATTGACTGCACTGATAATCTCACCCATCATATGCCCCACTGACTATCCTCTTGTTATCAAAGCGTATGCATCTCACCAACTCTTCATGGCCTTCCAGTACTCGTAAACATGCCCCACACTCGATATCCCACAGCCTGGAAGAGAGTACAAAGGAGCATTAAGAATTTTTTAATACCTTAGCATTGCAATGAAACATTTTCTTGTTGTTAATGGAAACTTGGAAATAAAGATTATGATGGAACAAAGAAGAGACAAACTATCACTCTTTTTCCCACAGTTAAATGGATACACACTTTTCCAGGTGTTCCTATGATGTTACAGTAACACTGCAGAGATGAGTCACAAACCAGTTGTGTCTAGTATCTCCCGCTCTAGTAACACAGGATATCTCCCAGTTACCTTCACAGTGAACCTCACTTTATTTTACTGAGGTCCACTGTTCATAAAAGTGTTGTGCCTTGGTTTTACGATATTAAGAGAGGGAGACTTACCAATCCCCTCGGCAGTTTGTTTCAGTTGATATGATCACCTTCACAGGGCATGAGCCCCTTTCTGGTCCCCTATATGCCCATTTCTGATTTGGAGACTACCATCAGACAAATTAGGTTATCAGTATAGTGGCAGAGGTACTAGAATTAACAAAACCTTTTTCTTTGTCATTTCTCCCCCTTAAAGTATGTTTAATCTGTAATCCAGGCAACTTTATGCATAAAATGTATGCTCTGTGTTTATTATTTTGAAATGCATTGTTTTCTTGCTCTCAAATAACTCCTGTGGTTCTATGTGAACTGTTTCTAATAATATATTATTTTTAAAAAGTTCTGGCACCCAAACCAATATAAAGTAAGAGGCCCAGAAACACATTAGTCTCTCAACAGTAACTATCCCAGCGTTTTGGCTTTTGTGATGGATTTTCAGCATGGAGAATAAATGAAAATACGTAACTTCTACACCTGCACACTACCTTGAAAAATAGTTAAACACTTTAAACAGTTATGAAGCAAGTCTATTTGTTTTCCATACTTTTGCCAGCTCTTTGACATAACTCCCAATTACCATGGATAAAGAAAGATTATTTGCCTACAAGAACTGAAATTCTTCGACATGTATTGTCTAGAGGTGTTCCATCTCTGGCTGAGACATGCTCTGCTCATACAGCAGTCTTGTAATAGCAATATCTGCTCTGACTCCTTGACACACAGCAGAAAGAAAACAGTCAAAAATGGTCTCAAATGCTCATTCAATAAGTGCTCTGACTGGCATGAACTTCACAGTAGTGAGAAATATGGGAGATTTGTGGAATTTCTCTGGGTGACACATCTTGAAGCAGCACAGCTGCTGAGAGGTCAAGTCACTTTTGCTTGAGAGACAAAGAAAGAGATAAACCATCCCTACATATTTTATTCCTGAGGTTCATCAGATTCAGCTGATGTGTGCCCAAGGCTGGTGGATAATGATTGCAGCTGTCTTGCCACAACAAGTTGCTTTCACTTTGGACAACAGAGGAATGAACAGAACGTTTTTGTCACTGTAGAACTGAGAAAGGGTATGTCTATGCACATGTTTGAAGCCAACAAAGAGCACAAAGCGATTCTTCAATCTGTGAAGTTGATCTTTCAGGAATCTGTGAAGGGCCCAACAGTTTTCACTTGAGTACAGCACTCAAGTCAAGGTCAGAACAAGCAACTCCATGGCAAAGGTCAGCCAAAGGCACTCTGCCTGGTCAGAGAGCATTATGTCTCTCAAGGACTGTAAATACGACGGACAATGCCAAGAGATTAACTGGTGCAGAAAGGTTTCAAGAGCAATCTTGTGCCAGAAACTATTTTGCCATGTGTTTCCATTCCTTGCCATTGATCCTGAACCTGCCAGCAGCTCTGGGAGGCTGCATGACACTAACTCAGGCCTGTATTTTCAGGTCCCAGTCTGAGGTTTTACCTGAATCTGAACAGGATTACAAGAGGCAATCATGTTCCTTGCCACATGGCAAATGGGCTCTCATGTACAAAGGGGATAACTGCTAGTAAGAGTAGGGTCTCCTAGTAGATTTGGTGCCAAGGGTCCTTTTCAGATTTGGTAAGTCTCTCTAACTTCTACTTCTTTAAATATTCAAAGGAACAAACAGTAAAATAACTAAACTTAAGGCTTGAGAACTAACTAAAAAAAAGTCACTACAACATGTATGCAGTCAAACACACTATCACTGATCCTTCCTGTAACTTTGGGAGACCTTCCAGAAGTAGAGGGAGGTCTGCAATTATCTCAGCCTTTAATTCAGTTGAAAGCAGATTGGGGAGATGTACAGAAGGCAGGTGAATCTGAATCCCCATGTCTTAGAGAGAATGCTGTTGTCTACACAGATAAGTATTAGATCCTTATGTGTGTACACACTAGAAATAAACACATGAAGACCAGCTACTCATTAAAAACTTAACCCAAGATGATCTAGTCTAACATTATTTTCTTACCCTAAATTACCTGGTTCCTTTTTTCTACACCATGTTTGTCTGTTGCAATTAAGAACTTTGGCCCTAGAAGCTAAGATACTGAAGTGATTGGATTAAACTTGATGGACTAGTTTCTGCTAGATGGAAATTAGCACAGTGATAGTGATGCCTATGTAGTTGTGTCCTCTTACAAAGGTGAAACTTCCCGCCTAAATCAAAACATAAATAATTTTTCTATGTGGAGTCTCCCTACAGAAGTCTCAGCTACTTCACATGTCCTTAACGTTTGCAGTTGCAGAACTAAAAATCACAAAGTCATCTGGAAAGAAGTTTCCCTGCAACTGAGGAATAATGGACTTTTAAGTTCTGTATCAGCCTCTACTGAAACCCAGCACACAACATCTGGTAGCAGATTAAAACCAAACCTACAAAGCAACAAGCCATCCACAAAGATGACTTAGGAACCTTTATCTTCGTCATTCTTCCACTGACTTGTGCCCTCTGCTAATGGATGGAGAAAACTGTCTTTTAGCACTGGGTAAATCTTTCACCTTGCTCACACTGCTGCTAAACTTGACTTCCATTAAGATTCACTGTCGAATTCGTGAAATTCTAGTATAATTTATCTGTCAAGTAGGGATTTTGTCCAATGCAAGCATAAAAGTAACTGTATTCCTGTTTAGCATTATCACTATCTTGACATTTATTTTTATTAGCACTGCATATTTTAGATCCCTCCCTAACTGCTGTAGCATTTAACTATTTCTTGCTCTACTTCTGAGGCCAAGTTTCATAGTACAACAACTGCAGAGGCTTATTTTTTCTATTTGAAATGCAGAAGTTCTTACTTAGTGGTGCTGCTCTTCCACAATACCTGTAATACCTCTTCCCTTGATTAAGAGATGGAAGTTTTAGCTTTCCTGGTCATGCTCTCAGACAGCCCTGCACTAAAATCTGGAACAGGACCTGGTGATGTCAACCAAAGGACCACTGTTTTCCACAGAATGCAGAGCAGGGAGAGGCAGCATGTTGCAAACCAAGTCCACAGACAAACAATAGCATGGATCACTCTCACTGAGGAAAAATCATTACTGATGTGAAGAGTTCCTTCTTACACTGTCCAGCTTTCAAGTTTTTATCAAAAGGCAGACAATTATTTTAAAAAATGACAAAGGGAAAAGGGAGGATGTTGTTACTCCCATTTCCATGACAGGGCCATTTTTCTTTATCACATAAACTAATATTCAAGCTTGTTCTGTACATCCTGGAATTAGTGGGACATCCCTCTGCCAGCAGCTGCAGGATGTAGGGAGAAATTCTGACTTGTGATACCAGAAAGAGTTAAATCTCAGACTGCAGCCAGGGCAGCTGGAGAAGTGCAAAAGGCAGCAAACAGAACTTCATGCTCTAAACCAGCTGTTCCAAACTTAACCAGGTGCCAAGTACCACAAGAAGAGTTTGGCGAGAGCCCAGGAGGATTTCTGCAGAGGATTAAATGCCTCTTACTGCAAATCTGACCCCTTTAACTAGACACATAGTCCAATTAAAATATCACAAGAGGACATTGTAGAAAGTGGTACTTGCCAGCTCTTTCATACACCAGAACTGTCAGAGCACTGCAACTTGTTGATTAGTATGGGACTCTTGAGATGTAGAGGATGAAAGACAACACAGTAAAACAGGCTTCTAATATCTCTTTCCAGTAGTTGCCAATGTTCTATACCAGAGAAAGCATATTTCAAAGCTGACAAGGGTACAGAGCACTCCCATTGCCTAGCCTCTGCATGTCCCAGCGCACCAGAGACAGCGTGCTCGCACAGAACCCTGCGATGGGGAGTTGGTCTCTCACCTGATGGTATTATCTGAAGAGCCGCTCACTACTAGCCTGTCTCTGTACTGCAGACATGCAATGCCTCGTTTGTGGCCATTTAAGGTGCGCACGAATTCGCAGGTACTAGTGTTCCATACCTGTGACAGGAAGTGGGGAGGGAACCACACAGAGACAAAATTATTACGAAGAGACTAACAAAAGATGGTGTCTGTATGATATATAGATGAATCCAGAATGCTCATAATGAAGCTGCTATCATTAAGACTGGGAAAATCGCCCCTCTGATAACCTGTGATTATAGTCTGCAACCAATAGCAGTTTGGGTCACTGCACACAGAAGATTTTTGCCACACAGTATCAAATTGGCTTCCAGGTTTAGCATTCTTGAGCTATGATTTAATTTACACATGATACAGATTCTCCTGAGTTTAATGCTGCAGACTGGGATCACAGCAGTAACACTGAAGTGTCTCCTACCCACTCACCTTCACTTTTGTCCCCATGCTGCCCTCTAACAACTGTTTAAATGACTGAAGAGGTTATGGAAGTGGTCAAGTCGAAAAAGAACACAGAAAAAAATGTTCTTTTTCAACTGCATCTGTATCTGGAACTGATTTGCCACAAGCTCTGTAAATGAGTTGTAGCAGCTTAACAGGGACAAGTGCAAATGAGCAGGAGGAACACTGCTTCTAAAGGAAGATCCTGCCAGGGGCCATCTTCCCTGTCTGGTCACTGTTCTTTGTTAATAAATACCCCAGTGCTGCACATAAAAAACCTCTGAAACACCTCACCTTTATAGTTCTGTCACCTGATGCCGATACAATGTACTTGTCATCAAAGTCCACTACGTTGACGGCAGCTCGGTGCCCCACGAGCACCCTCCTCAGGGTGATGTCTGTTGGGGAGGCCATGTCCCACACGGCGATGGAGCGGTCCTTGGAACACGTCACCATCATGCCGTTGTTGAAGCGGAGGTGCAGCACGGCTTCACAGTGGTGGATCAGTGTATTCAGCATCTCACCTGCATTCACATCCCACACTCTGCAAGGTTCAGATTTCAAACCAGAGAGAAGAGAGTTAAAAACCTGCACAGTGAATTTTCTGCAGAGCAAGAGAGGGACAGGGAGGGGTAATTGACTCTCTAGCGTTATTAGAGAAGCAAACACCACAAGTTATATCCACATCTATTAAATAGTTCATTAAAAATTGTATTAGATAAACCTGTTGATTATGTGTACATTGAGACAGTCCAGCAGCCAAAAACCCTGCAATGCAGTTAACACCATAAAAATAATGCACTCAGGAAAAAAAGCGTTCTTTAATTAAAGGAATTTAATGCTGAGGAAAGGTAGAAGACTGATGGCCTTAAAGACTGGTGTTTCCTGGGTGTGCCAGCCTATTACACACTTCATTTCCAGTCAATGTGGAGAAGTAAGTTCCCTGACAAGCTTCATTTTTGACCTCTCTCACAGGACTATCAGCTCAAGTGGTAATTTATACAGAAGCAGGAAGACAAGACAATTCTTTTCAAACAAATACAAAATTACTTAATTGCCACAAGTTGCACTATGATTTGCATTTACCCTGTGGTGCATCTGGTACACAGCTACATTACAGGAATGTGCTGAATACCCAAATTAAGACATAGCATTTATGTCAATTTAATGTTATTGGAACCAACTGTTTCAACTGAAAGATAATTTAAGATGCAAGTTAGATGAAAGCTTCATACAGAACTTCTAGAACTTGAAATGAAGATTTTAAGCCCTAAAAATATTTATTTTGGGCTATTCTGTTGGCAGAAACTTCTTCTGCCATTCCATAAAGAGATTTCTTTTGGCACTATCACACCTGTATTCCAGATACACTATATGAAGCAGAAAATGGCTGTATTATCAGGCACATCAGACTCTGAAGAAGTTAAAACTTCCTGCCGTCAGTAAGGCAAGCAGTAAGAAAGATCTGAGAAAGACTTCTAATGTCTTATTTTCTAACTTATGGAAACTAAGTGCATCAACTTATAAACTCTAAATGGGAAAGAAAACCACATTCCAATTAGAAAATGCAAAGGAGAAAAAACTAAAGACCTGAGCCATTAACATACGAACAGTTTGCAGACAGGGCTGCCAAAGTGAACAGGAGCTGGAGACCCACTGACTTCTTTGGACAAGTGCATCCCTGAGATCTCAGAAGCATTAAGAGCCCATCTGTACTGTCTATTGGATGAAGCCTCTCTTCCTGAGGAGACCCAAGGATAAAAGTGATGCATCCTATGTGCCTCTGGGGTCTGCACAAACATTTATAGATACAGTGGGAGACAAAGTATTCCTGGGCAAGTAGCCAGTCTGCAATTTAGCCTGCCTGGCCTGATATGCAAAATGACAGTGCTTGTTACAGAAATCAGCCTCTCCTTTTGTGATCTGTTTAGCCCAGTGCAGCTCCCACATCACCTCCAGGCAGCTGGCGATGCTGAAATTCTGGATTGCTATGAATGACAGGACCCCAAAACCTAGCAGAACTGCAAGACTGCATGCATCACATATCAGGAATTTAATTTAATAGTTATTAGCTTAACAGTAGTAGTCTACACAAGCACAGAGGAGCTTGCAGCCACAGGAAAGCATGCTAATAGCTCCAGAAAAAGCCACCAATGCAGCTTTTTGCTGTCTAACTCCACTGCATGAGCATTGCTTGTACTCTGACAAGGAGGGAATATATAACAACATGGAGAAGTCAGACTTGCCCCTTCACATCCAAGTTCTTATTGCAATTCATTAACTCATATGTGCCTCTATTTACACTACAGGTCTTACACTCTCTGGTATCCCCTAGTATGACTAATGTACTTCACAAATTCACAACATGCACCACAAGTGCTACCTTGAGGTGTCCAGCCTTTTACTGGAGACTTGAAGGATAGCAAGGTTAGAAATATTGAATGAAAAGAAACATCATGCTGAAATTTAATTTAAAGTCATAGGATATCTAGTCATACATATTTTGTTAAAATTAAATGACAATGGATGACTAAACCTTCAAACTTACTTTGAAAATTTAAACTCTTAAAAAGTTATTATCAAAAAGAATTTATAACATTCTCAGGGAGTGTCAAAACATGCAAAACCTTGATGAAATGCTAGATGGCCTTCCTAAGTCATCTTGACCTTGACTGGCCTTGGCTTAGATTCTCATTTCTCCTTGACAGCGATTTGCATGGACATCTGATAAACAAGGACAGCAGAATGCTGAACAAATTTGCTGAACTACTTCATGGAACTGCTTGAACAGTATGTGTTTAAGAAGAGATCATTTCAGCAACTTGCAAAGCTGAAATCTTAGGAGGCAAACAGAAAGGTCCAAATCATGAGCACACACCTGACTGTTGAGTCTGAAGATCCAGTAATGATCACCCGTTCATCATACTGGAGGCACAGGACAGAACCTGTGTGTCCCGTGAGAATTCGCTTGCATTCCAATGTATTCTTATCCCAGATCTAAGAAGCAAACATTCAAAACCAGACAGTTCAGTAAGGTTTTCATCTTTCAGCACATACCGGTTTGACTAGACTGATTTTCACTACAGCCCATCTTCCATAGTGCACTTAGAACACCTTTAGTGGCATCTGCAGAGTCTTCTACAAGCTCTTTGGTGCAATACATTGACATCTTTGATATTACCAGCTTTACTATGAATATTGGTTTTACCCTTCTTATTAGGGTACAGGGCCCAATAACTACATAGCCTGTAATTACTGCTGGACAGAAACTCTGCTGGTGAAGCCTGTCTGCAAACAGGGTGTCTCTAGCCAGATAAAAGAGGCATAGCTGCTGTGCAGCTGGGAGATGGGGGAAGGGGAAGGAGAAGGCTAGGTTACTAACAAGAGACTGGGTATGTGTCACTAAAATTAGGACACTATTATTTATGGCATAGGCACTCCAAGTCATTAGTATGCCATGATGGAGCATTCTCACCTTAATAGTATTGTCTCTTAGGCCGCTTACTATCTTCTGATCATCATACTGTAAACAATAAACCCCTTTGCTTGTCTCACTTCGGCAGTGGATCCTCTGTAAACTGTGCCTTCCACACCGCCAATTCGACTCTATTGTCTTGAGGAGAGACAGGAGACAAATGAGATGCAGGGAAAAAAAAGCATGGAACTATCTCCCTTTTTTTTTTTTTTGTTTGGTTGAGAAGGCAGCAGACAGTTTTCTTTATGCTTTTTCCTGCAATCAGACCCATACAATGACATAATTGCTTTATAGAATACATGTAATAAAACCAATCAAACAGACAAATGCTTGGAAAACATATCATGGCTAAACTGGTCTATGTTGTTGGGAATGGTGAGGAAGATGTCACCTAAAAGCCTTTTGTATCTCCAACCTTCAGTCCCCTGTGATGACCCAACAGCTAATTAACTGAAGATAGTCTCAGCTGAACTCTAAGTGCTTTTACAAACTTGTCCCAACAGTGCCTGAGCACTGCTTCTGCCATTAGGAAACAACCAGAACATGCAATTTTGCTCACACTAAATGCTAGGCAAACATGCTCAGCTGCTTCCTGTTTCCCTGAACCTTAGAAATGCAGACTTTTGAAATGCACTCTCTCCCTGCCTCAGTTCTTGATATCCTGTAACAGCCTATTAGGTCTCATTGCAGGAGGAGCAAAGTACTGTGGAACAGAAAAAAAAAGATGTTATGGTGCTGCTGTGATATCTGATGTGCAAAGTGCAGAGACTCCACCTGCAAACAGCTCACTGAACAACCCAAGTCATCCTCTGTCTAAAGGAGTAGCAGAACCTTTTATAACTATCCCAGATCTACAAACTCCAGACAAACAAAGACATGTCAGATTTAATAAAATATTACACTGCAGTGGAATATCCCCAGAATTTCAGCATCATGAATAAATCAGGAACATTTGAAGAAAACAAAACTGAAAAACCAACAGTGAAACACCACCACATCTGGCAGCTGTCTCTTACCTCTATGTCTTGTATAATTTTGGGGTAAAGTGCTCTGTAGAAGGAGTTGGGTGGTGCAGTTCCATCAGGAGGTTTATTTTTAAATAGATATTGCCCCCTGGAAGACAAAGAACATTTCCATTGAACACAAATCATGTTTCAGCATTTTGGAGAAAGGTCTTCCTGGCATTTTACAAATGGGTAACCACTGCTGACAGATTCATAGTCAAACTTAATTTACTAAGATGGGATGGTTCCTTGTTTGTTTGCCCTGCAACATGTCAGTGTCATATTTTAACACTGAAATACCCAAGAAAAATCTGTGTCTAGTAACTGAGGGAAGGGAAATAAATTCTCTATTATGGACATGGGTCCATTCAGCTCAGTAAGGGTTGACAATGGTTCATGCCTGCAATACTCACACACATTATCAGAGGTCACCTTTAAAATACAGCTTGCAAAGAAAACAAAACAAGCCAAGGAACCCTCAAATCTACTACGCATTCAAGGCTAGCTTTTATCTGCATTAGCAGGAACAGTGTCAATTTGGCTACATGGACATTTTACTGCTACTACTCTCTGTTTTGGTAAGCAAACACCTCATCTGTGGTGCCTCCCTCATCTCAACACTGATTTGGAATACTCGTATCCCAAGCTAGATTTTTGTTACCAAAAAAATCTGTGAACAGCAATCACTGCCTGCTGTGTAAAAAACTTTAATTCCTCATCCTGAAGTTAAGAAGCCACCAAACACGGTGTGGAAGCTAGTAAAGCCCACCATGGGCGTACTAACTGCTGCTCTGCCTGGCAACATGCCTCACAAAACGGAGAGAGGCACAAATGCCTCCGAGTGTAATCCTGGCATCAGAGACACAGAGTTTACACTGGGCCAGCTCTCCACTTCTCCCTCCCTTGCTCCATTACAGCATAATTAATTGTTCAATACTTCCTTGTGCATTTCCTTCCTGTCCTTTCCATTCAGTATACCTCAAAACTCATTTCAGAGACTGTACATTAGCTGCCCTGATGCACTTGAACTAGAGATACCACAACAGTGAACCAAAATCTTTGGGTTGTAAGGCAGTACAAACTATAGGACTGGACAAACAAAATGACAAATGCTCAGGAAAAGAACTTTTGATACTTCTTTAAAATATTCTAAGTACAACTCAAGAGAAAGGTGCTTTCATGTTTGGACAGAAGAATTACCTGTTTCTTCAAATACGATGACCAGCAGACATGCATACGGGAACAAACACATGAGGATGGTACACATGGATGCAGGCAAACCACTAACTAGACAGATGTCTATTAAATGTGATCCAGCCAGGAAGTGCATTCATGAAAATTAATATTAGTGGCCAAGGAAGACGAAAACCTCTTTGGAGATGCACAGAATACCTCAGAGACATCCTGGAAGACTTGGGGCAGGTATAGAAAAACCTTTGTACAAGCCTATGTGCCTAAAAATCTTTTTATTCTTTCTAACTTTACTAGCTAAGGTAACACAAAGTCTAGTTGCTACCTGTAAGTTGTACCCTGCTGCATGTAGAGTCAGTTGTTTACTGTTTAGCTGAAGGATTGCTTGGAATTTCCATGGCATCCCAGTAGTTGTTGTGCTGTGGCTCTGGGATAAAAGGAACTATTGTCTGAAGGTTTTGATGGCCAGCCAATTCAATCAGATGGACACAAGCGTGCCCAGATTTTGGGCTTCTGTTTTATATTTCTCTAAATCTGTGTAACCCTTACTGCTCCCCGACAATCTGCCAGTGAAGGCTGCCATGCTGCAGAATGGGGAGGGGTTCTGTTGTAAAGCACAAGCTGCAAATGCTGAAATCAGGCAGCTTGTGCAAATTGAGGAGCTGTAAACAAATAACATCAGTCATCCATCATTCTGAACTGTCCAGTTAGTCACCTCCTTGTGCCATGCACAGAGCTAGCACTGATTACAAGCTATAACATTCTATGTGGCAGAAATGCAATTGCACTGGGTATTTCTTGTCTTCATCTCTTATCCACAGAGCTCTATCTGTTGATCAAAGAGATAACCAGAGGGCATAACTTGCTTGTGTCTAAGCAACCTCCAGCACATAGCACAAACCTGAAGAGGTGCAGTAACAGGGTGACTGTCCTTGAGATGAGAAGCAAAATTTTGCACCTGTCTTTTAGAAATGTCATGTGTCTGTATGACTAGTATTTGGAGCTAATGTTATTTCTGAAGTGTGGAGGGAGCAAACCCCAGTGATGCCTCAGCAGAAGATACTCAGCTGATTACACCATACTCCAAGAATGGAGTAGAGTAATTGGGAAGGGTCTAAACAGAGAAAACTGAAAATAGTTAGAGTACAAGACAACACATCATTATGGTTGGCTAGTGCAGCCAAAACATAGGAAACATGGTCATCTTCCAACACGGATAGGATTACTTCAGAAAGGAGAATGAGAAACTGACCTGTTTATCTATGCAGGTTAAGTGTAACAAGTCAAAATGTAGCCTAGATATCAGGAAAACCTCTCAAACACTGAAGTTAGAAAGAGTTACAAAGTGAAACTGTGGAATTCCTTTTTTAGACATTGCCTGGGAACTCTCCATCAGTAGAGGATTTTAAGAACAAGACCAAGATTGGGGATGAATTAAGAAAAATCTGTCCCTGCCTATGGGAAACATAAAGGACTAAATGACCTCTCAAGCTCCTCTTAGGACATACCATGACCTCAACAGTAGGGAGGAAAAATGGCAGTCCTGGAGAGAATAAGGCACTAAAAGAAATGCCAAAGTTACTACTGCCACGCTTGTGTTTATTTTATACTTTTTAGAAACACTGCACTATTAGAGGAAGATCAAAGTAGTATTTATTTTTAAAGAATGTTTCATAATCCTGATTTACTTGCCTTTACTTCCTGAGACAAACAGTATAACAAAATTAACCATAAACCAGGGGTCTTTGTTTGCAACTCTGTATCTTTTTCTTTTTAATAGCAACCAAAATGCCTGAGCTGTCACTTTTATCTTGTTTATGAAATATTCATACCCAGTTTCCCTTCTGCCAACATCCTAGGGACACCCTTGGAAAAGAAAATTATGTATTAAAGGGTGCACCCCTGAGAGAGAAAGTTCTAATGAAATGTTAGCAGTGCAGCTTCAAACTTGAGTGAGACCTACATTGCAGTAAGGCTATTCCAGATGATTATTAACTAATCTATCTGCATTTCTAAAGTCCCCTATTCTCTGTGGTACCTACCCTCAGCTTCCAGTGTGAAAATTAAACAGATATCTAATAGTGAAAATCTGCTGAGGAAAACAAACAGACCTATCAGGAAAGAACTAATTCATAGCACATGCTCCCCCACTGCCACTCCTGAAAAAGCTCTTCTGCTCTAAACTGCTGACCGGTTTAGGGTTCTCACGAGGCATACACTGCTTCTTAATTTGAACTGAATGACAGCTGGGTGTAAAAATCTCAGTCCATATATCTCACTTGTCACAGTGGGGTAAGAGCATGGCCAGATGAGGAAGCTGAGGAAAAAATCCCCCACACTGCCACATAGCCAAATGATGCCCTAACTACACAAACCCTGATTTTTGGTGTAAGCAACTGTCAGGTTTGGAACCAACATGACGTTTCAGTGCTGAATAACCCTCTCCAAATATGGCTTGAAACATAACCCTTATTGTCCTGAATGCGAGCAAAAGAGGTGAAGATTCAGTTTCCTTACCATCCTCTCCTCTCTGACAAACCCCTCCACAGGGAATCTGTTCTGACCATTCTCTCAATGAGCTTCTTCCATAGCATCCCGTCAGATGTCACCCGGTACCACTCCTTGCACACCAGCTCAGCAGCACACAAAGATTTGGCATCCAGGTATGACAGAATGTTCTCAGCAATGTGATCCAATCCCCGAGCTGGGGGAGAACAACAACAACAGAAAAAACATTATTTGCTGGACAGACACAGAGTTTAAAACAACTCCCCCTGCTAGTACAATGATACACTCTCCTTCCATCTCCTCTTCTGCATGCAGAGCTGGACCAAATGCACAGAAGAGCATTTGAGGCTAAGTTCAGGAGTGAGCAGTCTTCTCCAACTTCCTTTGGACATAGCACAACAAGTCATTAAAAATAATAAAGAATCCAAGAAGTCATTCCAATCTATTTCGATGGGTTTTAGCACTAGGGGGATATTCTATGGATGGCATTTCCAACTCAGCAATGCAGCCCCCAAAATCTCTCTATATTAGGACCATTTCTCATCTCACTGCTACAGCTGTTCTCATGTTGAAATGGCTCAAAAGCTGTTTTTGCTAAAGCAGTAGCTTTTAAATGTAATGAAGAAAAAAATATATATTCCCAATGTGTGCCCTGAAGGGTAGTGGTACCTTTAGACAGGGGGGAGGGAAGGATATGCAGATGCACGTCAAGAGGGAAGGAGAGGCTGTGGAGGAGAAAGTTAAGCAGGTTTGCTAGTTTCATTTATTTTAGTGGGTGAAGGAAAAATAGGCACCAAAATAATAAAATTTGCAAATATTTCCCAATGTGAATACTAGGACTGACTTTACTTCAACATGACTGGAGTGAAATGTAAAGCAACTGCCTGGTTAGCACCAAGCAACTCAAGGTAAGGTCTACATAGGGAAGGTTATGCTATGTTTCTTAACTGGATGGATGACATCAACAAAAATGTGTCCATACCGACTCAAATTTAATCACAATCAAGACTTCAGAAAAACAAGATGCCTTTAAAATGTGAAGCTGTGCAAATACAGCTTCTCTTGAAGGCTGTTTACTTCACAAATGAGACACACCACCAAGAGATTATCTCAGTTCACAGGTTAAATTTCATAAGCTTTGTGAAAGTTTAGACCACATCATCCCTCAGGCATAATGTTCAGTCCAGCCAAAAATTAAGCATGGCAGATTGGTATTACATAAATCTTCCCTCTTGTTCGCATTTGGAACAAAGTTAAATATTTATTTTCTTGCTTTTAAAACAGTCTCAAAGACCAGGCTCTGCTTGTGAGGGGGAAAGAAAAGGCAATAAATACATTTTTACAGTCACAAGTCTGGACTTCTGAAAACCGAAACTAGGCACAACCAGCTGATTTTGATCAGAGTTCATGATACACAAATGGCCCAACCTTTATTTCCTTAACGGAAAGATCTCAGAAGTATCTCCCACTGCATTAAAATGAGACAATTCAGCATGCCTCCTCCTGCTGCTTTCAAATATACTAAACTTAGAATACACTTTGGGTGAGACATTCTGCTCAGCATTTTATGGTTCAATCTTTATGTAGAAAAAGCATGTGAATGAAACCAGGCACAACCAGAGAGTAGAGAAAGAAGTCTGACATTTCTTATCTTTAGAGATACAAAATTAGATGTCAACCTGCAAAATAAAAGCATCATCAGCCTTTATTATGTATTTAATCTGAAAAGACATGTACAACCACTATTAAAAAAAAAAGTGCAAATTTAGATTGACCCCCTCAGCAAATTGCAGAAAGAGGGAGACAATGGTTAAGTGAATGCGAACTGGAATTTTCAGGAATTCCACAACTGGCAGGGTAGACATGGACATCCTGTTGCCCTGTTCCTGAAGCTTTGTGTGGAAATGGCAGATTTCCCAGACTGTGTTGCTTCCAACAGGCTTACAGACATTTATACACCCACCAGGACACTTAAAAATGCCTGCCTCCATAACATCCTTACAGGTGGCTTTAAGTCAGTAGGGTCACAGAATTAATTAATTTTATCTATGGAGAACAACTGGTGGCTTTAGGAAGCAGGGCTACACTGCAACACCTGGGCATAGCAAACCTCACCCACGTGCCCTTTCTATTTCATCAGCAGTTGCACTTTAGATCTTGGCTGCAATGAGGTGCTGTAACTACTGCCACATCCTTAAGTCATCCTTTGCCATTGATACTAGACCCTGTGCTGCAAAAGAATACTAATTTTTTGGCCTCTCTTCCTCATATTTATGATAAGTGGATGGGCAGAGCTATTTTGGCCTGGTTGCAAACTCAATTTTATTATTTTGTTTCTTAGGAACAGCACAACTCACTGAGGTATGTATCTAACAAAGCACTGCTTCCTTAAAATGGGAAAACTCTGCTCACAGAAGAGCTAAATGGATGTGAAACATGATTAGCCCTTCAGCCCTCCGAACCAACAAGAATGTCTCAGTTATTTCACACATGAAATCCTTATCAAGATGGCTTTCCTCATAAAAAATGTTAAACAGCATGAAAATGCTAAGCAGAAGCCTTATTTTTCAGAAACTGAACGAACTTTGTAAGTACACAGCTAAGCTGTATTTTACAAACAACCTTAATTCTGTTCAAAGCACTGGGAAAATAATCTCAGCCAACTTTATATTGGCAAAACATGCCCAAGATCTAAAACTACCTTTAATTCTGGTCATTCTTTGGGACCATGCTAGGAGGACAGAGATAAGATGCCTCATGATTTTGAAGTAGCTTTATTGTTTTATTCACTCAAGGGGGAGAGCAGAAGAGAGAATGAAGTAGTAAAAATGAAATCAGAGTACTGAACACTTGAGAATTTCAGAAAGCTAAAAAATACTTACAGATTTTAGGGTTTTTTTTCATTATATGACTTACTTTAGAATTTTAGGCTCATCACTCTTTTCTAGGCTCTTTTCTAGGCATCACTCTTACCCTCCTCCCTTTCCATTTCCCTCATTAGAACCTGCTTATACTCAGGACATCCTGCACAGACTGCAGAGTCTGTGCCAGTGTAATTCCTTGACATTAATTTTCTCCCTTAGAGCTATATTCACTAGGACATTTGCACCTTGCAAATATGCAAATTGATGCACATACATTATTTATGCACACATTTCCCCCAACTATTAAAATACTCACATATTAGCTGCTTGATTCCTATTTATTCTGCATTCTGATAGAGTAAAATCAGCTGCTTCCTGGGCAACTGTGAATAGACCAGTAACAAATATGGTATGGCTAGGAAATTTGGAATGCTTCTAGAAGTATTTATAGCACCTGCCCAAAATTCTCAGAAAAAGCCCTGTAGGAAGAAATTAACCAAGTGCAGTGAGATGTGTTGATTTCATGGGGTGCTTTCATGGGGTTCCGTGGAGAAAGACCTGGAAAGATTGTGTATGCAACTACATGTATACTTCAAAAGTGAGGAAACCAATGCAGTTTCCAAACACTTCCTATTTTTCTGAAACAGAGCAGCTCCACAAGTTATAATGCTGCTCTAAGTACATGAGATTATTGCCATTGGACTACTAAAAACTAACATAAAGCAGGTACTTAGCATAACTAACATTTTTTTTTAATGCTACAACAGCCATTAGATTACTGGGCACAATAAGCTTAAAATCCAATGAGTCTACCTATTTAACTTCCTAGCAAAACTCCTGCAGTGCCTTTATGCTTTATACAATTCACAGTTAAAGATACTTTTTTCTGTCTTTTAGGGCTAGAATTTGTATTTCATGTTGAGAATTCCCTTCTGAAGAACAATCAAACTGCCTGAAGTTCAGCACTTCTCCAAAGGTATTCACAGAATAAGGTTTTGGCAAGAAACATCTTCTTCAACTGTCTGTTTAGAGACAACACCTGTACCACTCCTCACTCAGGTCCCTCACAAACTAAGGACCTATCTACCAAGGTATGTTCTAATGGTCTGAAAAAATATGAGCAAAAGAGCCAGGAATTTCTGCTTGGTTCTGAAACTCTATTACTGTATATATCTGATCTCCCACCACCTTAGTTTTTCCATGTATAAGACAGGGCCAATATAAAACTGCATGTTTATACACACTACTTTATGTGTGCATTCAATGAAATCTGCCCAATGCCACATCTGAGAATAGCTGGGATAATATTTTCAATGGAAGGCACTAAAAAGGTGTAAAAACCAGAACACTTCCATCTTTTGCTCTTATGCCCTCCATTTTCTATTAGCAATAAACACATAATCAAAGCAACGGCTTCAGGAAGTTATTTCAGTAGGAAAGAGAGACAAATACCTAAATAAGAAAAGGGAAAACCTCAGCTGAGCAACCAGAAAGAGTAGTAGTTTTAATTTAAAAAAATTTCGTTATTCATGCATCGTTGTGGGCATTAAGAGCACAAGTACCTGCCCTGTGGCTTGGGATAACTACCCTTACAACACACAGATTAGCTATCACTTACTCCTAGACAAACCATGACGGTGTTAGATCATGCCTTGACACACAGTAGGATCACAAATTAAAATATTACAACATTTCATACTGGTATAGAGCTTTTCATTCAAAAGCTATTATCTGTTCTGCAAACTGACTGTATAAGAGACCTCTCCAGCAGGGCAGGGCGGAACAGAATAGTTTTTTGAAAGACAGGGAGCAAGCTCCCTCTGCCTGCAGAAATACCTGGCAGTGCAGTGATGAAGTCCCGCTGTAACATGGGTTTGAGGTATGAGTTTATGTGTCCGTGCTGGTAGTGACACATCTGGGAGATGAGGTGCTCCACAAACTCCACCTGATCAGACTCGGACCACTGTTCAAAGTACTTGACGCAGAGCTCCTTCTCCTTCTCATAGCTTGCAGACAGTTTTCTTTGCTTGGGCACAATCATACTGGAAGTGCCATTGGCAAGTTTTGTCTGTAAACAGGAAGGACAGGAACAACCCAAATAACACATATGAGAAGAAACACAAGCAGTTGTACAATTTCTTATAGGAGGCAGACAATAGAAGGCAAAAAGCACTCTGACACACGAAAGCTGTCTGAGACCACATATCGCGGCCGGTGCCGCCCGAGCGCAGCCTGCACGACAATGCACTGCCTCATGCCAGAGCTGCACACAAAGCACTCTAGTCAGATGGGAAACCTTCAGCAGCAGTTTAACATAAACACAACTTTATTTAATATGTAGACAGTAAAATACATTTGGATTCCTAATGTACATATACCATTTACTTCAATGCACCAACAGCAAACTGCATTTGTACTCTGTAGCATGAACTACTTTGTTTTTTTCTTCTAAAGAATGGATTGCTGCTAAAATTCATAGGGAATGCATGAAATGGATGAAAAAAAAATGAATTATACCTTGAGAGCAAAGCCAGCTAAAATACACCCTGACATTTGGTAAATACTTCTTTCACAGAATAAAATATTTTCAACTTTCTGAGCACTGTTAATATCTTGTCAGAAGGAGTCAGCTCAAAGAAGAGTTTCAGGGACAAAACAGAACACTGACATTTCAATTTACTACTTGATAGTAAGATATAAATTCTGCTTTCTAAATGATTTAACTGGAAGAAAAGTGCACATTTTGCATTGCAAGGGTATCCTTTGTCCAAATAAGATTAACCGTTTGCTGGGAAATTATTTTTTCTTATGCTGGTCAAATAGTTCCTATTTTCTGCTAAAAATGTGATTTTCTCTCTTTTATTGCAACAGTTTAGCACCAGACAGCATTATAATAACAGTCAATATTATTACATCATTTTTATTGTCAAAATACACACAGAGGTTCTTCATTAATTATCAAATAATTTACAGGTATAAGAACACATAAAACACTGAGGCAGGGATGCCATATTTTTGTTCTATAATGATAATTCCAAGCATCAACCTTGCCAGGGAACCTTATTAAATTTAAGTGGAAAAAAAAAAAATGAGTACCTAAATCTCTCTGCAAAGACATCTAATGAACTAAAAGAAATACAATGATTAATCAATTTTACAGGAAAAGGAAAAACAAGAAAAAAGCCCCTTTTCAGCAAGTGCCAAAACTATTTAGAGACCACAAAATTTAGTTATCAATAGTAAATTTGGAATGCAGAAGTTTCTCATTTCTCAGGAGTAAATAACTCCTGAACTTCAATACCTCCCAATCCCAACAGTAATTCTGATTTTGGGACACCAAAATCTTGTAATTTTAAAATCTACATAACTGATCACCATATAAATTTCATTTTCTTAGAGATAATGCACCTAAATACTCTTTTCAACATTTCTGGAGAGCTGGACCTTCCTTTGGTAGAAAAATATAGTAAACAGCTGTAATTTTTAACAAGCAGCTTCTTCTATTTCTGGATTATAGTTTGACTTAAGCTTCTTTGAGAACACAGAATAAGGTGATCACACCATCAGTGCTCCACTGTGTAGCTATTTTCAAGTTTACCCCTGTTCCCCCCTGCAAATGTGTGGCTGTGGGTGGCTGTGTCCAGCAAGATCATTCAAGACAAGGACAGAAGGACAGCAAGTTACAATTTCATTCAATCCTCACGTGGACAGCACTGACTGCTGTGACTTGCAGTGACTGCAAGCAAGTTACAGAGCCAGTACTGGGCAGCAGGAACAAAAAACTCTTTCTTGGGCCAAGACAAATCACTAAAGAGACTATGGGCATCAAGTCCTGCGTGTGAAAGACTGGACTTTTTCTAGCGAAGTCCGACAGTACTTAAGGGCCAGGCAAAAGGTGATTACCAGACGAGAACATCTGTGGTAAGGGATTCTGGTAATTTTTGCCGCAGTTAAACTGCCTGCAAAACAGGCATCCCAGCAAAATGCCAGATTAAGACAGTGGGGAGATATCATAATCTACAAACTTGATCTCTTTTAATTTCTCATTTTGTTTGCTGTGCACCTTACAAAACAGCTTGTCTCTAAAAAACATTTTTTGAAAGCCTACACATCTGTCTTCTAATTTGAGAGACTGTGAAGTCTGCCTGATATGCTGAGGCTGAGCGGAGTATACAGCTGATGTTCAAAGGACACAAAGGTGCAGCTCCTTTCACAGGGTGGCACCATATTCTGGCCTTTCCTTGCCTTCTGAACACCCTTCTCCCAGCAGCCTTCAACTCCCCAGTTTCTTCTAAAACATTGGTATGTGGTATCAAACAGAAGTTGTAACATCTGCAAATAAAAGTCATGGCTTATGTGTGTACAAATAGATGGTTTAGATGGGACAAAACAATTAATTCTGTCTGAACACAGGCTCCTTGGATAGGAATAATGAGTAAATTAAAGAATCCATTGACCAGCACTTTTAACAACTCTGGAAGTGAAACTCCAGATTTATAAAGTGGTTCTGCTAAGAAAAGCATGTTGCAGTGTTTATGTCCGAATCAGTGGACATGAGAACACCATATTTTTTAGGTTCATACTTCAGCTGCATTGTTACAATGTCAGCTTGAGACCCGGTTTGCACCCTTACCTGCCCTGGTTTCCCACCAAAAGGAGTGAACATAAGCCCAAGAGGTGTGCTCAGCAGGTCCTATGGTTTGTGCAAGCAGGGGACCAAGAGAACAGGATATGCCATGAACACACCAGTTCTGCCGAATAGAGACAGGTAAACTGACAGGGTTCTCAAATCACTCCAACTATAGTTTAGAACAAAAGTCCCAGAATTTGAATTTAAAGATTCCTGAAAATCCACTGGCAGTTCAGTGAAAAAGGCCTATTACAACAAAAAAAGCAGCAACAAAACAACATCATCAAGCGTCTGTATTATTGAATCACCTACAGCCTCCTCTGTCTCTTAACACAATAATCAGGCCTCATTTGAAAAAGAAAAACCTGTTCCACTTGCCATCCACACTGCTAGGGTAAATATCCACCCAAATGCACTGTATACAATCACATTTTTTATAAGCTTCACTTCCAAAAATGGCAAAGAAGAATAAGCACTGGTAGTTCATCATCTGGGAGGAAATTTGGGTATAACAGAGAAAACCACTAACTTGGAACAGATGAAGCTTCACCAACTCTTTTTCACAAAGCCCTGTAAGTGAGGGCTGAGAGGTGCCCCAGCTGGCTCTGGGCACCATGACTCATCTGCAGGAATGGCAGAGGTGTCCTCTGACAATGCTGAGCCTGAGCTCATAAGCTGTGCCAGGAAACCCAGGGGATTGAGTGCCTCAGGTTGGTACGAGCTCAGGGATCTACGTACTATGCTCCACTGCAGCCCGTAATTACAAGACCATTTCTCCAAATGGCTACATTTAACACAAAGCACATTTGTATGCCCAGTGAAGTAGAAGAGGACTAATATATGAAAGGACTTTAATCTAAATAACGGCTTGCAACTGTAGGAAGGTGCAATATTTCAACACAGATAAATAAAGACTGGATAAATCTACTGCTTTGCATATAAAACAAACCAGCTACGGCAAATTGCAGCTGTAAACCCATATATGACAACCAAAGTTACTTTTGGTTTCGTTCAGTGCAAGGGACCAAGGAGCCTCCTAAAGCACAGAAAAAAACCAAAACCAAGCAACTTCCCTGACTGTAGTACAGCAATAGTGTTTACCCACCAACACGAGTGGTCACAACTTTTATGTCTTTTTAAAAAAAATTACATTGCTCTAGTCATTGCAGAGGACTTTGTTCAGGCACCTTTCACAGGATAGATGCATTCAGCTTTTGTGTTTCTCAATGCAAGAAGACATCTCTTCAAGTCACAGAGAAACTGTCTCCTAGAATATCAAGAATGGCTTAAATGATCCCAGCAAGATTTGGGACCTTCTGAATGTTCAAGACATCTTCATGATGAAGCTCTAAAAATACTGAGAGCTTAGACCACCACTGAAAAATTCAGCTTCTCTGTAGATAAAAGGAAAGGTCTTCTCTTTCATGTTCTAGTACCAACAGGTCATTCTGGGCTTTTTCCCTCCTTCCTGGACTCACAGGGACTACAGGCTCTGACACAGACAAATGTCCTTTACTGCTTCTCTGCAATTGCAGCATTTCTCCTCCAATTGCTTGCACTGCCCGTTGTGGTTAAGTCACTGATCTAGACAGAACCACCTTAACAGGAATTTTGGATGGGTCTTAGTGAAGGGGAGGAAAAAAGAGGACATAATGTTTAATTATAAGAAATGATTGAAATAGGCACAGACATACCCCGGGTGCCTCTGCACTGCAGCAAGCTCTAAACTTGTTATCGTTAATGGTTTAAATTTCACTGTGCTAATCATTTCAGGACACAAGCCTTTCTTGATAATCTAATGAATTATTCCAACATCCTTCAGCAAAAAAAATCCTCCATGACAGCACTAATTACAAGACGTTTTCCCAGTGCTTATGTAAAATATGACAGAGCAGCAGCTTAGGGAATTGCAGAAAACTGCTTCTAATTTCCACTGAGAAACTGACAAACACCTCTCTTTCATCTCTCCCAGCTCTCAAGTAAGATTTAACTTTCTCATTTAGTTAATTACCGAGTGAGGATCATCATTTTCCCGGATCGGAGCGGCACAGAGCCTTTATCGTGTTAACTTGTGAACTTGATCGATGGCTGCTGCTAAAACTTAATAACTTCACCCCCTGGCAAATTGTAAGATAAATATAATAGGAGAAACTCTGACAGTAAAAACCTGCCAGAAATGAGCGCTGTGTTTATGTTTCTTTGCAGGCAGCAAAAAAACAACCGACAGCTTATTACTGGGTGCGTGTTACTTATATTTAAAAGACTCCAGGCAGTTAACTTTCTGCGTACTGTTCAAACTTTACTCACAAGATAAAAGACACTGGGGGAAAAAACCCAAGCAATGGAATGACAAAGAAAGGAACCACGGAGGTGTATGTCCAGGGGCCAAGGAAGGTGGGGAAAGACAAGAACTTCACAATGAAAGCAAAGCCATGCTT